CTCCTTACTCACCATACGAAACACGGTACCTATATTGTAGTAATATGCAGCTTTTCAACGCTGGTATTCTGTGCAAGCGTTCTTCTTTCCCGGTCGACCCGACCCATTTAGTTTTTGTCAATCAATTAAATTTATCCATTTAACTCACGATTCAGTTTACAAGATAAAAATATTTCTATAATCTATCGCTGCGATTTTGTTTTTGTTTAAGGTTATTTTTATCTCATTCACAATTTTTTTACATAGTAGAGCCACGCATCAGCTAATTAATTAATCAGATTCGTTAGAGTAAGTGGTTTCGAATGCGCTGATTATTTCACTAGACCTGGGGTGAGTCAGGGTAGTACTCTTTGCCCTTTTATAAATGAGCTACCAAAATAAAATTTGCGAAGTGTCTGTTATTCGTAGATGATCTAAAATTAAGCTTGGCGATTAGTAATGCTGCTGATGCACAGGCTCTTCAACAGGACATAGATGCGGTATCGGAATGGAGTGAAGTGAACCATCTTCCTCTAATGAGACTAAATACAAGGTTATCACTTTTGCATTAAAACACGTTCCTGTCATGATATTATATAACTATTATTTTATAATTATTAATTATAATTACATTTATTTATATAGCATAATATACAATATTTTATAATATACAATATTAAAAACTATAATAAAAAAAAACTAAAACTAGTAACTTAATTATCATACAGTCCTACTCCCCGCGGTATCGTGTCAAGAACGCTGGCTGCGTTTCCCCGCTGAATGGCTATACTTAGCCTTTGAGCGAGAAAAGAACCAGCCCTCTTATCACCAGCAGCAATGACCAGCCGCGGATGGAGTTCGAGGTAAACGAGGTACCCCTAAGATGAGAGGCCGCCAAAGTGTTTCCGCAAGTAGCATCCCACACTAGGGCTTTACCTCTCTTTCAAGGGACCAATGTCATACCGTCGGGTATCTTGCCATCGTCTCTAAATATTCCACAAGGCTCTAAAACCGAGGGATTATTGATATAGACAAGAACCCTTCTGACGACATCGTTTAAAGAACCCTGCCGTGAAAACCTACCAGCACTTTGCGTACATTTATTTTTAACAGTGGTAGAGCCACGCGGCAGCTTTTGCTATCGCACGGATGGGCCGGCTCGAACCGGGGTAGTACCACGACCTCACAGAAAACCAGCGTGAAGTAGAGGTTTACCTCTGCGTTTCGCTTGGTGAGTGCAGGTGGCCGGAGGCCCTTTTTACTGGAAATGTGGCATTCCATCTTAGTCCTCACGGGTGACAACGCATCTACATTTTGATTTGTAACAGAGGATAGATCTAGATGTCTATGGGCCGCAGCAACCACTTACCATCAGGTGGACTGTGTGCTCGTTTGTCACCCTTGTCCTATAAAAAAAAAATCATGAAAGTCCGTGGAGCCCAAACTTGTCGAAGCTGCTATATTTATAATTATAATTTTTGTTGCTATGAATGGATGCAATTTTTATTTTTTTTTGCATGTAAAATTTAACCTTCTATGCGTATTGGGTTTTCTGTAAGCCACAAGAAAATTTATTTATTTATTCAATTGAGTTCTTATTTTCAGTTAAATAAATAAATAATATGGTTGTAGGACGAATGGGTCGGCTCGACCGGGGAAGAACCACGCTCTCACAAAATACCCGCGTAAAATAGCAGCTTAATGCTGTTGTGTTTCGTATGATGAGTGTAGAGAACCGGGGTACCTTTTTAGTGGAAACAAGTCCATCTTAGTCCTCAGGGGTAACAACGCATCTATTGATTCTTAATCAAGGATAGATTTAGATGTCTATGGGCCACAGCATCCAGTTACCACAAAGCGGACTATGTTTATTTGTAAGTCTTATACTATAATATAGGTCTGCATATTTACTGAACGGTTTGAAATTTAAGGATGATACAAAGAAGAAAAATAATTACTTTATATAGATCATAAACCACTTGCGTCACAATATTATTTTTGTCACACAAATACTCGCACAGGTCGCCAGGTAAGCAAATAAGAGTTTTTATAGAATAAAGGTGACAAGTGAGCACACAGTCTACCTGATGGTAAGTGGTTGCTGTGGCCCATAGACATCTACGTCTATCCTCGATTACGAATCAAGATGCAGATGCGTTATCACCCGTGAGGACTAAGATGGTTTGCCTCGCTTCCAGTAAAAAGGGTCTCCGGTTCTCTACACTCACCATACGAAACACAGCAGCATTCTAGCTGCTATTTTACGCTGGTATTCTGTGAGAGCGTGGTCCTTCCCCGGTCGAGCCGACCCATTCGTGCTACAACTATACAACTAAGATAGCTGCAGCATGGCTCTACCACGTACAGTAATAATTACGTAATTCATTAATCGCTAGTAATCATTGTTAGTTTTTTAACTTCCTTTCTTCTCAAATTTTTGTGGTGAGTGTGTGTGTGTGTGTGTGTGTGTGTGTGTGTGTGTGTGTGTGTTTGTGTGTGTATGTTTCACCAAAGTTAGTAATTTCAATACTGTTTCAATCTGTTTGGACCGGTAGATTTCGAGAAATCTCAAAAAATCACGCGGCTCACTTGATGTTAGGTGTCAATTGCCGCCCATGAACAACTGCAACACCAGGGGATTTGCAGGTGCATTGCTTGTTTCTTGGAGTATCCGTATAGTATACCTCAGTTGTATCGTTCCCGGCACCGAAAGGTCATAATATTATCAAACACATTTGCAAATCAAGTCAACTTGCTTAATATCATCATGTGCTCTGTATAGCTGACAATCCCACATGGTTACAATCTATTAATAACGATAAGTACAATTTATTTAATTAAGTATATTTACGAATTGTGTTCTTATTGTATAACATATGTATATACTTTGAAAAAAGTCCCGCTGGGTTTCTTGCAGGTTCTTCCCAGAACAAAGGTTTTTCGAACCAGTGGTAAAAGTAAAAAAAAAAATGGTTATCACTACTGTAGTTTATCTTTATGGTAAGAATAATCGGTTGGATTATTTAAAATGGTGAAGAGAACAAGTAAATTTCTAGAAATCATTTAAGGCGAGAGTGCTATTGAGCAAGAATATGATGAAATTCAACCAAACCTTTCATACGTGGTGGAGTCATGCTGCAGCTATATTGGTAAGGTACATGAGGGTAATATGGTCACCTTAAGCTTTGCCGCCCAATAAAACCAAAACTAGGAGGAGGACAGAGACAAAAATACAAAGTCTTTATACTATAACTAATATATTAAGAAAAAATAGCAAATAAACCTTGCCAATAATTAGGAACACTTCAAAAAATCAACTTATAAAAAAACTAACTACACTACACAATACTAAAATCGACTAAAATTGTTGCTATATTTTCAACTGTCAAAATGGCGTCGATGAAGCAGCGCCCTTTTGATCCTTTATTATTTGATTGACTGTTAAATAGCAATCGTAACACAGAGCCCCCATTACAAACAAGGCTTTTGAGTTTTAAGAAAGTGACTATATTAACCATATCACCCTCACGTACTATAGTGTAGTTGTAGCACGAATGGGTCGGCTCGACCGGCGAACGACCACGCTCTCACAGAATACCAGTGTAAAATGGCAGCTTGACACTGCTGTGTTTCGTACGGTGAGTGTAGAGAACCCGCGACCCATTTCACTGGACAAGAGGCATTCCATCTTAGTCCTAACGGGTGACAACGCATCTGCATTTTGATTCTTTATTGGATAAATGTAGATGTTTATATGTCACAGCAACCACTTACCATCAGTTGGACTGTGTGCTCGTTTGTCATCCTATACTATAAAAAAAACAACAAGCCAAATTCTCACAACTCCATTGGTCGACTGGTAGAGAATGCTTAAAGACTTTAAAGCCGCCCTTTGTATTTTTTTGTAATACGGAATACAATAAAATAATAAATAAATAAATGTGCAGCCATGAATCGACAGTACTCACTACTAACAGACTTTATTGTGGAATTAAATATAATTCCTATTGTCAGCGATTACCAAAACTGCTCATTCAAATAACTAGATCCAAGTAGAGATTACAATGAATTAAAAAATCACCAAAATTCAAACGCAACCAAGGATTCCGCCACATCTAATGAATAGCCAACTGGTGTAGTATATAGTCATTATTTCGCATTTTAAAATAAAAATAAGGGTATACAAGAAAATTAATATGTAACGGGTCACACGTCAATTTCTTAGCACTCCATTGGTAGACTGGTAGAGATGAGAATGCTCAAAGCTATTAAATCCGTCATTTGTATTATTTTAGTAGTGCTGTAAGAAATGAAATAAAAGAGTAATTAACTATTCAATATAAATTCATACATTCAAAATGAATATTCATCAATACTTTCATATATTCATATTAAACGAGTTTTAATAAGTAATTATTTATATAGTCTACACTAAATAATAAGTTTAATGGTTAAAATAGTTATTAAAAAAAATCCGACTAGGTAAAAAGTTTACTGGAAAGAAAAATGTATACCCTGTGTTGCTTTGCTTAAACAATTAAGACCAATCTAAAGAAGCCTCGTATATTTTTTCTTTTCTTAAACGTTTTTCCTCCACTCTAGGATTGTCTCCTGTATCGTGCGGCAGTTTACATACACAAATTACAATTATTTGTAAACTATACAAATATTTATTACGTGCGGGATTCGAACCCGCGGCCTTTCGCGCTTAGGACTGAGTTGTACTCAGTCCTAAGCCTCTTCACCGCGGAGTCATACTATGATGCCATTTAGACTACAGAGCGTGCCAAAGAAATAGAAATACATTCGTACATACATACACTGTAAATATCATCATCATAATAATTACAAGGGCTATAATGATGATGATGATGATACCTAAACTTGAAAAATATTACTCTCCTTCTGGTGCAATCGGGTAAAAATCATTCAACTCCAATCATACATTGCACAACGCGCACCAACAATGGAAAGCCAAAAATAAATTAGATTCGCAAATTATTAAGTAGAACACGAACAACTTGAGACGAATTTTGAGATCGTTTATCAGTATTTCCTCGTGTGCGGCTAAGTGTAGCGGAATCTACTATCGCCGAAATTGGGTGGGTGAACTTATATCTGGGAGAGTTCATCTTGGGTCGTGGGTCAGGCAGCGGGATTGCGGCGGGAGCTCGCGGTGCGCCACAGCGATCTCGCCCGCCGCCGACGGCATGCGTGCAGCCTCCGGACCATTGCGCGCGTCACTCGCGTCGCCGCCCGCCCTCCGAGCACTCCTCGTCCTGGCACTGCCCGCCCTAGCTGCACTAGCCGCGCCACCACCGCCGCACCAGCCTCCGCACCAGGTCAAACACCTGCACTATTGAATCCTACATCTCAACGACCAAATGAACCCCTCGCATTATTTACTACTTCGCTTTTCTACTCTACATTTATTAAATGAAACTAATTTTATCGCGTTCAATTTAAACTTTTTTAATCTTCACAGGCCACGGTAAAATCCGTAAAGTTAGTTACATTTAATGTGTAGTATTGGCGTAGATATAAGAAATTTTCCTACATTTAAAACTTTGCATACTTTAACTGTTCGTTTTGCACCTGTACTCGTAATTGTCCTCGATATATTTTTGATTGATCGAACTGAATCTAAATACGGTTAAGTTTGAAACGGTAATTATCATATTTTTATTATATTTTATACTAGCAGACGTACATTCTTTGCAAGAAACCGCACTCTCAACTGTGCCTGGCTTGGCCGACGTCGTCCCAGTTTAAGGATGCGGACGATAGCTGGTCTACTTCGAAAAAGCCGGGAATATGCGGAACCAGCGACTGGAGGCCTCATGCACCGCTGCATAAATACTATACAGTAATCATTTTGTTTATTATTTCATTATTTTAATTTTAAAGTAAGTTTTCTATAAATATAACTAAAAAGATATATAATATACATTTAAAACAATAGTATACTTTAGGAAAACGTTAATTTGCGCGTACAAGACAAAAAAAAATGAAGCGTGTATTAGTTTGTTGCATATATTAATATTTTTATAATACCTTATTTAACTAATATTGACATAAAACACAATGTTTATTCATTACAAACTTAAAAAAGCTTAATAAGAGTAGTTTTGATAAAAAAGCTTATTACAGCTTTTGTTTTTATAAAATATGTTTTTTGTTCTATAGTAACGATGCAGCGATTATTTTAAAACAAATATCGGTTGAAAACTATACATTGTACTATGCTCTGCGAAACTTGAAAGCTTGCGCAATATTCTATAACGTGTTAAAATACTTTATGTTAAATACGTGTACGGACGTAGTCGAGAAGCCCTCTTGTAACCTCATTAACAAAATGTAGGTAAGAACAGTTATCGGGAGTCGGCAACATAATATATTAACTACCACGGAATCAATGCAACAAAGCAGACCTAATCTAGTAAACACTAATCAAACAAAGTAGGACTATTTGATGAACTAGAACACGCCACAGAGATGTTTATTGCTTGTAGAAATAGTTTACAAGTGTTACATAATTACATCGCTGGAATTAAACATAGGGTATATTGTTAATAAACATTTATTGTTTTCATAAAAATATGGTTTAGTTAAGGTTAAGACCTGACCGTGTATTGGTGGTGTACGAATATCCACTACCTGACTCGAATGAACCATGAGATTATCAGCACCTATTTTTCTATTAATAGATAATTAAAAAAACTGCGGTTACCAACCGGCCAGTCGAGCATGACAGATATGGCAAATATCTCCTGCTCATATCAGCTGAACTTTTTTTGGCCGTTATGGTAAGAAAACAATGAATTAGGAAATACATTACTAAAAAATATGCCTGCTCATTTTTTTAAATATAGCCAACCCAAAAGTTATTGTTACACAATAGTCGATTTTTAATCATCATCTAATTATGACAAATTCATTAAGTATGATAACATCCATCAAGTTGCTCCCATTTGGTTGAAGTTTAAGTCCCGTCTCCGTATCTTGTGCGTGCGTTGAACTCGCTCTGACTTGTGGCTTGTTCTCTCTTTATCCTTTGCACTTTAAAAATTGTTAGTAGGCTTTTAGGCTTTGCAATAAATTACCTCCACATATTAGAAAACTGTCTCATCTGTTATTGCCTTTAAGTGGTATCTGACCTTGCTTCTTCCAGTAGCTAACTTTCCTAAATGTTTCTGCTTATGTTTTTGTTGATATGTTGATATTGTATATGTTTGTATGTAAGTATGCTTAAAATGTGAGTATTATGCATTATTTAAAAATTGCGTATGTATACAATTTATCAGGGATAGAGTATATTATTTAGGTTATTTGTAGTAATGTATATTTATAGATGTATTTATATGTATGTTATATAGTTATGTATTATATTTCATCATCATCATCATCACGCCTATCCCAAGGAATGCCACAAAGCACGGCCTTGAGCCACCTGCATTCATCGACGTCAACTTTATATAAATACATATTTTCATGTATTATGGCACCTGCTTAAGTTTCTCTGCTTAGCTCGTGGTTGATTGGTAGAGAACGCCTAATTGCATTAAGTCCGCCAATTACAATTTTAGTGCATTTTAAATAAATAAAAATTGACGTCATCTGAATTCCCGAATTACGAAAATATAAGTTAAAGCTGTTCCTAAACATGTTGATTCTCTGCAGCAGTCACATTTTTATCTCCCGCGCGTTTTGTCGATAACTTCTTTCGTCAAGGCTGTACTCATTTCCTTGACCTGTATGTTGCACAATAATAATCTAATAACAAATGGAACAGAAAAATTAGAACGATGTCACGGAGACTCAATCCCTGATTCTGTTTATTTTTGACGTAACAGATTGAACGTACGCCGGACGTTGGACCGATCAGAGTGTTCTGCAGTATTGTAATATTGAACAACGGGGACTTTGATTGGAGAGCGGTCAAATCACAACGCGTGCGACGGCAAACTGTGAATCCTCCCCGCGGCAGGTATCGTGGACAAACACAGTCGCAGTACCTGGCAATTGACCGCGGTGGCAAGGATGAGGGCAAGGCGGAGGCGCATTCAGCAGCCGACTCATCGCGGGCTAGCGTTAGTAAGTATCTGATAGGTAAATATTTCTAATAACGTGTTGTAGTAAAAGATTTAAAAAAATACGTATTTATTCACATTTGAATATAAGATTTCTCTGATCAGTTAGATAATGGAAACACAAAGCTAATTAATAAGCTACATTGTGTTAGGGTTGTGGCATGAATGGGTCGGCTCGACCGGGGAAGGAACACGCGCTCTCACATAACACCTGCGTAAAATAGTAGCTTAATGCTGTTGTGTTTCGTATGGTGAGTGTAGAGAACCGGATACCCTTTTTACTGAATACGAGGTATTTCATCTTAGTCCTCATGACAACGCATCTGCATTTTAAATAGTAATGAAGGATAAATGTACATGTCTATAGACAACAGTACCCACTAACTATCAGATGAACTGTGTGCTCGTTTATCACCCCTAATCTATATAAAAAAAAAACAAGCTAACAACCAATCCACGTAGATCCTACTGTTGGACATAGATCTCCTCTCAGTTCTGAGAATCATGAAGCAGGAAAGAACCCGCCGCTCTCATAGGAAACCGCACCACTGCCAATCAACAGATTATTAGTAGCTCGAAGTATTCTTAATTTCTTAGATACAGCTTTCCTCGTGATATTTTCTTTACCACCAACAGCGTGGTAAATAAAATAAATTTAATGCTTTGCAAAAAATTTTAAAATGTCCTCATTTTAGCATTTGCGCTGGTTTGCGGTTGCGGTTGCACTAACCAATCGCCTGACAGCCACATTTTCCTCAGTGATCGCAGTTGAGAGTCGAACTTCACGTTCAAATTCTGCTTCATCATCATCATTACAGCCCTTCATAAGTCCACTGCTGAACATAGGCCTCCCCCAAAGAATGCCACAAAGCACGGTCCTGAGCCACCTGCATCCATCGACTTCCTGCATATCTTACCAGGTCGTCACTCCATATAGTGGGGGGACGCCCTACACTTCGCCTGCCGGTACGAGGCTGCAACTCGAGAACCTTTCTTCCCCATCGGTTGTCGGTTCTTCGAGCTATATGGCCGGCCCATTGCCACTTCAGCTTACTAATCCGTTGGGCTATGTCGGTCACTCTGGTTCTACTGCGGATATCCTCATTTCTGAGTTTATCACGTAGAGAAACTCCGAGCATAGCCCTCTCCATAGCTCGCTGAGCGACCTTGAGCTTCCTCATCCGGCCAGCAGTGAAGGACCACGTCTCAGTTCCGTATGTCATCACTGGCAACACGCACTGGGTGTACAGTCTCGTTTTCAAGTTTTGAGGTATACCTGACGAGAAGATGTGCCGTAATTTCCCGAACGCTGCCCAACCGAGTTGCATCCGTCGATTGACCTCTCGGTCGAAGTTGGACTTACCTAGTCGGACTATTTGTCCCAGGTAAACATACTCGTCAACAACTTCGAGCTTAGTGTTCCCAACAACTACCGGCATAGGTGTGACATGGACATTAAACATGATCTTTGTTTTGTCCATGTTCATCTTAAGACCTATCCGTTGGGAAACACTATTGAGGTCATTGAGCATAGTGCTTAGGTCCTCCAGCGATTCTGCCATAAGGACTATATCGTCGGCAAATCGAAGGTGAGTGATGTACTCGCCATTGATGTTGATACCGTATCCTTTCCAGTCCAGAAGCTTGAAAACATCTTCCAATGCAGCGGTAAAGAGTTTCGGGGATATGATGTCACCCTGTCTTACACCTTTCTGCAATTGGATAGGTTTCGTACTCTGGTTCTGTACGGATAGCCATCGTAGCCCTACTGTACAAGCACGTCAACACTTCGATATACCGACAGTCAACTTGGCATCGCTGAAGGGACTGCAGCACCGCCCAAATTTCGACGGAATCAAAGGCTTTCTCATAGTCCACATACACCAGACATAGTGGCAAATTGTACTCTTCGGACTTCTGTACAATTTGCCGAAGGGTATGTATGTGGTCTATGGTGCTAAAGCCTTTTCGGAAACCGGCTTGTTCGGGAGGCTGGAAGTCGTCAAGTCTGCGCGCGAGACGATTCGTAATGACTCTCGAAAACAGCACGTAGACGCGGCTCAGAAGGGAAATCGGTCTGTAGTTCTTCAAGAGAGCGTTGTCGCCTTTCTTGAAGAACAAGACCACCGCACTTCTTCTCCACGCCTCCGGTGTAATGCCACCATGGAGGACGGAATTAAAGAGCTTCTGAAGGACTTCAAGTACCGGTTTTCCACCCGCTTTCAGAAGCTCCGCTGTAATTCCATCCTGGCCTGGGGCCTTGCCGTTTTTAAGGTGCTGGAGAGCCATTCTAATCTCGCTCAGACTGACGTCTGGGATATCATCGGAATAATGTCGGATAAGACTCGCTCTTGGATCGTTACTCACACTTGCGTGTGGCTCCAACGATGACGTGTACAGCTGCCCATAGAACCTCTCAATCTCACTCAAAATCTCAGGTGCCCCGGAAACGATGCTGCCACATTCGGTCTTCAGCTTTGACAGTTGGCTCTTTCTGGCAGACAGATCTCTGGCAAAGACTTTGGAGCCTTGGTTCCGCTCGATCGCTTCTTCAATACGAGCTGTATTGAAGTTGCGTAAGTCCCGCCGCATGCATTTGGAGATCTGTCTGTTCAGTTGCCTGTATGCTGTCAAATCTGTTGAAGAATGTAGCTTCATCTCCCGTCTAACAGCCATGAGATTAAGAGTGTGATCGGAGAGTTTTTGTGTTCTTCTGCGGCGGGTCTTGCAGAACTTAGCTCCGACCGCATGGACAGTTTCCACGAGCTTGTCATTCAAATCGTCCACTTCATTGCAGTCTTCTAGGCACTGAAAACGGTTTTGCAACTCGAGCTAAAAGGTTTCGGGACTTTGGATTAGAGCACGAGGGGGACGGAGCGTTGACTTCATTAGACGAGACCTCTCCAAATTAACGTTTAGGTTCAGTGTGCCTCTAACCATTCGGTGATCGCTGCCGGTTTTCACCCTCGCGATCACTGAGACATCACTGAACAGTTGTCAACAAATTCTGCTTACCAACGCCTAATTCAAATGAGGTGCTTCTCTCTCAAAAGCATTTTACAGACAAGCAGTGCAATCTTGCGGAGATAGTGAACTTTTAAAATCATGTAAAATCATCGCTCTTAATCGACGCTCGAATCGAATCGAATCGATGAGGAATTTCAACTTGTGATGTTCATAAAAAAACTTCCGCCAAAATTATTTTTATATATATAGAGTTTTTTATGTTTTAAAAATAGAACATACGAAATTCAAACACTTATGTGTGGCCTTTCAGTGTGCACTACGTATTTAATGAGATACTCGTCAGAAAACATTTACTTTTATTGATTTTCGAAAAGAGTAAAAAATCTCCCATGTTTTTTGGATAATAATACCTTAGATCACTCCTGAATTTGCTCTCTATCTTTTTGTGAAGTTTCATTACAATAGGTTCGGACATTCCTTAGATTAGCCCGGGCTGGTAGACAGACGACAGATAGATAGGCAAAAATTTTAAAAATAGTTACTTCATGCAAATAAGCCCATCGCCTAAAAAAACTAAATAGACACTTATAAGTGTGTACAGACATCAATTATATTTACGTATGTATAGTCCGTACGGATAAAGAATAGCATGGGATTAGAACTGGCGTGGAGGCTCATCGGGCCCGTACCGTCAACATGGACATTACCAATAGTGAAAACCCGCTAATAACGGTTCGTTATATTATTCGGTTAAATGGAAATTAATTGGAAAATATTTGGAATTAATTGGATACGGAAGTAGATACATTAGTTTTAAAATATCATTAATAACCAGCGACCCGCTCTGGCCTTGCCTCTGTGGGATCTAATTGAAGACTTAAGATAATTGTTAAAGACCATTTGTTTTATCTTATTAATATTTTTATTAAATCACAAAATTTTTCGGATAAAATTTAATCTATATCACTCATGGTATTACTCTATATTTGTTCGTGAAGTTTAATTACACTGTTCAACCACTCTGAAGTTTAGCTGAGACATACAGACAAACGAAAATTTTAAAAATGATTACTCATGTGTCAATTGCATTCAAATATTTTATACAAAAATATTAACAAACAAAATCAACAATAATTGTGAAGAAAACTCTCAGAACTCGTTGTAGCTCACAAATTTTGACAGATTTTTTTTAGTTTATGGCATTTTGTTATCACTGATTCCAATGACTAGTTGGACTGAAGTTAGAGAACGCACGAAAAACGCATATCGCAACGTATTTTTTGCAGTCATTGAGTTTTTGTACTACGTACTAGAGAAGCCATTCCAAACAAAAATTGTGTCCTACTCTATGTCTTCGCGCATGCGCGGGAGTAGTAGTCGCGCATGCGCGAAGACTTTAATTTAATATAAAATAAATATAAGAATTTAATATAAAATATCTTAATTTAATCTAAACAAACATATTTCTAAATAAAATGTAATAATAATTATTTTATGGAATTCACAAATCTTCAATTTACGCAATATTTAGTTTGTATGAATTGCAGTACAGTTCAGTTGAACATAGTCAATGTTCGGAATGGCTTCTCTAGTACGTAGTACATATAACTCAATGTTTGCAGTCTTTATCGGCGGATGCGTGTGTAGCTAACGACGGTGTGCGAGTGGGAGGTGAATAGAGGCGACATCATTTTTAATCCCATTCTTTAACCGCACTGGTAGTATATTAAGATAATATGATAATACTGCTTTACATTTTGAGATATGTGAGCTAGTTGTTTTAATTCGAATTTATTCCATCATCTTAATTATTTTTAAAAACAATAAAGACACAAATAGATTCTTGAAAGAATTTGTAAGTGAAATGTAAATATATATAATAATAAAATTTTCAGGCGGTAACAGTGGAATGGGACAAGCGCAGAGTCAGTCGATGTACGACCCCACTTGTGATGACTGCTACGGAAGATCGGACCCTGCAGCAGCGAGCTTAAAAAAAGGACCCTACGGATCCGTTCAAAACGGTAATGGATTATACGGGCACGACCAAAACGCAGGGCCTGGGTGGACTGGACTTTCTGGAAACAGAGGAATTCCTGGAACAAGTATATATGGAAAAGATCAAAATGGTAGCCCAGGAATGGGTGGATATGGGCCAACACAAACTGGCGTACAAAATTTTGGTAAACCAGGAGCAGGAAATTATTATGAGCCAGGTAAGCCATCAGAAGTGGATCTTACACCCGGTAGAAATGGAGGTTATGGACCAAACAGGGGTTCAGAAAGGATCGGCCCAGGTTTAGTTGGTTCAAGTGACACTTTACAGCCAGATCGCACTGGTGAGGCAGGTGGTCTAAGTAGTCCTGTTGGTTACGTTCCTAATCAGCAAGGAAATGGAGGCTACGGTCCAAGTCATGGGAGTAGACAGGGCGACGGTAAAAGACCGGATGGTAACGCATTTGGTAGTAATTATGGGCCAACCCAAAGCGGTGTTTCTGGAGGTTACACACCAGGACAAGGGAGCAGTCCAGGGAGCAAAAATTATGTGCCTGGAAGTCTTACGTATGCTCCAGGTTTAACAGGAACTAGCCCTGAACAACCAGGGACTTTTGGTGGGGATGGCAGTTTACGACCAAATCAAGTTGGTTCACCAGGCGGAATATACAGTCAAACGCAACCAATAGGAACCTATGGGCTTGGTCAGATTAGTGCCTTTCCTGCAGGCACTGGTAATGGTTTAAATAGAAGTCCCGGTAACTTTATTCCAGGGATGCAAGGACCTAATGGCGGTATATATTTTCCTCTTCCTGGTGGCACTCCAAACGGACTCGCCGGAGCTGGACCTGGTGTTCCTCAAGGCGGGTCTAATACGAATCTAGGTGTTACCCCAATAGGAGGTTATAATCCTGACCAGATAGCTTCTGGAGGAAAGCAGTTGAGTCCAAGTCAAGTCGGAAACTGGCCACAAGGAACATATACTGGCTCTGGAAGCCCTAATTACTTATGTTGCGTAGTTGGCTCAGATGGTAATTTAACTCCAGTCGGAGCATCCGTGTATAACAGAGGACCTGCCAATGGGATCAATAGAGGCACTAGTTATTATCAAGGTGGACCAACAAGCACTGGAAATTACGGTGGCGGTAATTACGAAACAAGACCTGCAGTTGGACCTGGCGGCGGTAATATATATGGATCTAGTCATCAACCAGTTTCTGGTGGGAGTTTTGTGCCAGGTCAAGTAGGAACTGCCGGTGGAGGAAGTTACGTACCTGGACAAGATGGAATGACTAATACAGGCGCAAATTACAGGCCTGCCTTAGTTGATATTCCAGCTGGCCATGCAGGTTACGGGACAGTCCATAGTGGAGGTCCAAGCGATGGGCGCACATATATACCTAACCAAGATAGACTAGGAACTGTGGGAACCTTTCAACCAGGACCAGAAGTAGTATCAGGTGCTCCATTAAATATTGGAACTGGTAGAGGTATTGGACCAAGTGTCGGAAGATATGCCCCAGGAGCGGGGACAAGTATAGGAAGTTATAATCCTGGTCAAATTAATTTACCAGCCCGAAGCAGTTTTGGACTAGGTGGTGTGCCAGACAGCAGTGTAAATTACGGACAAAGTCCAGGTGGAGGACCAGGCAGTGCCAGCGATTATGGACAAGGTGGTGGACGAGGCAGTAGTAGCAATTATGGACAAGGTAGTCGGCCGGGCGGCAGTGTAAATTATGGACAAAGTCCAGGTGGAGGACCAGGCAGTGCCAGTGGTTATGGACAGGGTATTGGACCAGGCAGTGGCAGTGGTTTTGGACAGAGTAGTGGACCAGGCAGTGGTAGCGGTTATGGACAAGGTAGTGGGCCAGGCAGCAGTGTAAATTACGGACAAAGTCCAGGTGGAGGACCAGGTAGTGCCAGCGGTTATGAACAGGGTGGTAGACCAGGCAGTGGCAGTGGTTTTGGACAGACTAGTGGACCAGGCAGTGGTAACGGTTATGGACAAGGTAGTGGGCCAGGCAGCAGTGTAAATTACGGACAAAGTCCAGGCGGAGCACCAGGCAGTACCAGTGGTTATGGACAGGGTGGTGGACCAGGCAGTGGCAGTGGTTTTGGACAGAGTAGTGGACCAGGCAGTGGTAGCGGTTATGGACAAGGTAGTGGGCCAGGCAGCAGTGTAAATTACGGACAAAGTCTAGGTGGAGGACCAGGTAGTGCCAGCGGTTATGGACAGGGTGGTGGACCAGGCAGTGGCAGTGGTTTTGGACAGAGTAGTGGACCAGGCAGTGGCAGCAATTTTGGACAGAGTGGTCCACCAAGCAGTAGCGGTGGTGTTGGACAGGGTGGTGGACCGGGCAATAGTGGAAGTTATGGGCAAAGTCCAAGCGGAGGACTAGGCAGTGCCACTGATTTTGGGCAGGGTGGTGGACCAGGGAGTGGCAGTAGTTATAGACAGAGCGGTGTTCCAAGCGGCAGCCAAATCGGTGGACCAAGTAGTGGCAGCAGTTTTGGACAGGGTGCTGGTCCAGGTACCATTGGAAGTTATGGACAAAGTCAAGGTATTGGACCCGGTCATGCCACTGGAATAGGAGATAGAGGTTATGGTTTAGGTCCAGGTAGTGGATCAGCAAACATTGGAAATTATGCACCTGGGCAAAATGCTGGACCTTCAGGGGGTGTAGGTAATTTAAGTCCAGGTCAAGGTAGTAATTTAGGCGGGGGCTCGGGTTACAGCCCTGTCCAAGGTAGTGAACCAAGGGGCGATGGAGTTTATGGACCGAGCCAAGCTGGAATAGGTGTAACAGGAAATCGTGGTCCAAACCAAGGCAATGGTCTTGGCGATGGAGTCAATTACGGACCAGGTGTTAGTCTTGGGGAAGGAAGCAGGATGAATAATGGACAACCCCTCTACGGAACAGAGACGAACAGATACGGAGGGAATGTACCGGTCGGAAGCGGATATGATCAAAGGGTAAATATTTGAATATTATTTCGTGAAATGCGCTTTGATTATTAAACAAATCTAACAAATTAATTTTTTTTGCAGTTCCCGGGACAAAGCAACGGATACAATGGTAATGGTAATTGTAATGTTAATTATTAAAAATTAGTAATTAACAAAGTAGTAACACAACTAATTTACGTTTCAGGTGTTGCACAAAACCTCACGGATCCTAACACCTTAGCAGATGGAGACGATTCCGAGGCAGAAGCTAGTGTTTCCCAAGCTGTTAACGGAACAACGGCTAGTGCGTCCTCAAGAGGAGGCAACGACAAGGGCCGTGCACAAACTCATGTTCAAGGCACGTATACCGGAAGCGGTTCCTTTTCTGCACAAGCCCTCATTACTGGTGAAAATAAGGAAGCAGAAAGTGAAGTAACCGGAGGGAGAAAAGGAGCATCTAGTTCTGCACAAGGAAGTGGCCGAAACAATAAATCACAGGCCAATGTACAACTTGGGTCGGAAACTGGATCGGTTCAGACGCAGTCATTAACAAACGGCGCGTATCACTCATCAAATTCTCAAGTTCAAGGCAGTATCAAAGGTGGCATGGCGGACGCCCAAGCTCGTGGACCAGGTAGCACTTCATCGCAGGCTCAAATTGGTTTTACGCCATATAAAGACGGGGATAAGGCTCATGATTTGCAAAAGATACCATTCGTTGGAGGAGGTGTTGCGTCAGCTCAGTCAAGCGGCCGCACGGGTCAGTCTCAGTCGCAACTGCACGGCACCTTTAAGTACGGCATTAGCTATAACGGAGCGGCACAAGCCGGGGCGAGTGTAGACAAAGATGCAGTATTCCCAAATAGACTGTCATTCGATAAAATTGACGTATTTGACGAAAATGAAAAGAATATTAATGTTGATACCGAAAAATCAACAGACATAGAAGATGCATCTACCTCGGAACCTTCTCTTGAGTCAGTCCCGTCAGAGGAGTCATTGCCGTCAGATGACGAGGTTCCAACCGAAAGTAACGTAACTGAGTTAGATCCAGGTGAAGAAAATAAAAAAAACGATGAATCTTTAAAAAAATCCGAAAGTCGATACTCCAGTCATACTCACTTAGATCACCATAGAACAAACGGTGAAGCGGAATCCTCGCCCGCACCCGTAGGGGGTACCCGTTCCTTCCAATCTTCGTACGGTAACAATGGGGCCGAGTACGAATACACCACAGACAGAGACGACGTCCCGCCAGACGAGTATGACACCGACGGTACGGAGGTGGAGCAAGGTGAATATTCCAACTACGACGAGATACCAAGAGATACTTTGACGCATCAGTCTCTCCAAAGTCCACGGAAAACCCTCGACGTGAGTCAGACGACCGGAGGCAGTACTCAGCACATCGTACTTGGTTCTTTGAACAATCAGGACGCGGAAATTACACAAAGGAACTCCGAGCGGCCCGATGAAAGTAAAACATATCAACCGGGGGAGAGAGTTCCGGGAACCGGTGGTTACACGATACCTGCTGGCTTCACCGGCAGTGTCAAATCCGTTGCTTCGAAAGAGAAAACTTACGTAGTTGGTTCGAAGGAGTCGCCATCGCAAGCACAGACTGTGACCTTGACGCCAGGAACTGGGAAAATAAGATATACTTATCCATCGAGCTATAGCAGGCACGTGGATCCGGGCAAGTTGAGGTCGCTGCATTCGAAGCCGCACAGTAACCCTTACGTGACTTTATCTAAGTCGGTGACGCGCGACCTGGACGCCGAGAACAACGTACGCAAGCAGTACTCACACTCCTACTACACCAAGTCCTCTTCATGCGGTTTCTTCACATTTACCTGTACGATGGTCAGCGGCGCAGAGGGCAGGAAAAAAGTTTGCAGACCTAAAATACCTACAAATCCTGACGGATCACCAATAAGATGTTAAATTTAATTAGTATTTGTATGGTCCACTTTAGTATATACACGTATCTTAATTTAGTATTCGGTATGACTGTCGCCTATTAATAATTATGACAAGTAGTAATATGTAATTAGATTTCGTCATTAGTCCGTATTATAAGATACAGCAAAAGAAAAGTGACAGGAAGATTCTGCGCGTAGGCTAGTAATTGTATTGATAAGTTTAACGCGTGTTGTTGGGACGCTCTGCACTCTGCTATGACTGCTTGTATGGAGATTCGTTATTGTTAAGCTTAGTTTCATTTTAATATTAATAAAATGATTTTTCTGTAAATTATAGTCATTTTTCGTTTTCTATTTTATATATAGAATTAGAGTGACAAACCAACACACAATCCACCTGATGGTATTGCAATTTTGACATTCATCCTCAGGAATCAAAAAGCCGATCTTTTGTCACGACTGAGGACTGAGATGGAATGCTTCGGTTTCAGTAAAAAGGGTCTCCGGTTCTCTACTCACCATACGAACACACAGCAGCATTAAGCAGCTATTTTACGCTGGTATTCTGCGAGAACGTAGTCCTACCCCGTTCGAGCCGACCCATTCATGCTACAACCACAATATAGCAGCAGCGTGATTCCACGTAAAAGTCAGACATGAATGTGAAATTAGGAATAAAAAGCAAATGGAGAGTTGATACCATTTATTTATTTGAATTTAGGTACATTCATATATCGCTTTAAATATAGTATTATATTGATCACATTAATAGGTGAGGTGGTGTGTAACGTTTGCACAAATAAATACTAACACAATCAGTACTTATCGCACAGGTACCACCTGTGCTCACTGGAATATAATTCGACATACAGAGGTACACTGACAGGAACACGGGTAATAATTTTTACACAAACGCCTTTTACACAATTCATATAGAAGGTAATAGATATACTTTATGTACATAGTAGAACCAATCGTATGGAAATTCCATTTAATATAATGTTATTTAATGATTTGAACACTGACGAATTAATTTAAATATTTAATATTACTTTCTCTAAATTTACCCAATGTATAAATAACGAGTAAATTCAGTTATAAGTTATGAAACCGATTACTTTACAACAAGATTAATTTTGAGCGATTAAATGAATATCTTCAAACTTCGATTGAAATTTATGGCTCAGATATGAAATGAGAGGAATCTGTGCGTGCGCATCTCGTGCGACTAGCGGGAGATGTCCAGCGTCCACGCGCGCAGCTTTAACACTCATATAATGCCAACACTCACAATAAATACTTTTATTTTATACCTATGACCGAGATCCAGACAAATGCATCTCATCACTTAAATATATCTCAAATACACAACGTTTTAATACTTAGTACGGCTTGGAGGCCAGGTCGCAGTTTCTCACATGCGCATGACACGATAGGTATAGGTGATATACGATTTTAATTCACTATAAACAGTAATAGTTAGCACATTTGCACTTGATTGATTTCCGGGGGCAGAGGATGTTTGCTACTGTTATAAATAAGTCTCGAAATTATTTCAATAAAAGGAATATTTCTTCAGTACTCAATCTTAAGTTATAAAAATCTTAGAACACAGTCACGTTAATACAAATTATCCCCAAAATAACTTATCTAGTCGATTACCGGTTGTTACCGTACTTTTATAAGATAATGGTAGCCAATCGAAAAGCAATCGGTAGGTAGTGCATACTTTAATACTTGAAAAGTCAATATTATACTTCCTCTTAAACATATAAAATCCACATTTGTATACATCATGTGTATATATATATATGTACCTATTGTATCAGCTATCACGTACAACTCGTCGCTCTTGCACATTTACATTCGCAACTCTTAACATTTGTATAATAAACGGTAAAATAAATAATATCTTATTAAAGCAATATGCCGAATACTGTTTTTTAAAGCAGTCTCCTCAGTGAAGAACGCAAGTGCGAGTAATCGCAAATGGACACAATTGCACAGTTATTAAATCGTATTTAAGACACGCTCAGGTTTAACGGATTGTTTCAAATGAAGCACTACACAGTTAATAAAATTACGAAACGATAACGTACATTGTAACGGTGATCGGACACAGAGTCGACTTGCTTCTTTACCGAGGAGCTGACTATACACACTTTCAGTCTGACGCTTGGAATGTATGTTCAAGTACGCGTTACATGTTTTGTACAATAACTAAAACTTATCTTAAAGTATTTATGGCATCTTCATGTGTTAAACGCCACTCTACCTAACTAATAGTAACTTATCAAACCTAACATTAAAAATAATTAGAAAAACTTAAAAAGTTCGTGAGAGAATACGATTTTATTTAGGACAAACTTGTCGTGTAGAGCGACGGCAAAAATGTCATAATTACAGAAAATAAATATTATGTTAAACTAAGTACTAGTTTGGTGGGGATACGCGGGGCGGTGAACGAAATAACTTTAGCTGCGGGAACGTTTCACCTAGCGCGAGACAGAACTAAGCGTAGCTACAGACACGTACACAGAATATACTTCGCCCAGCAAATAACCGTAATATTTGTGTTGTTCGCTGGGCGAAATAACACAAATATTACGCAACAAAAAATCGCACGGGTACACAAACATTTGTGCGAATGTTCAAACAACCTAATAATAAACATGGCAAAGATAATGTAAATACCTAACGTAAGTATTAATTCTTAGTCCTAAATAAATACTTTCAAGTTGCATTAAGTACGTTGCACAAAGTAGAATTGTATAACCTCTCAAGGTATTAAACATTTGTTTGATAATAGTTTATATAAAAATATATATTTCATATATTAGCATTAGCTAACCGCGTAAGATGAGCAGACTTTGGAATACTAAGGCTGACATTCCGAGACAATCCCGAGTTTAAACTCAAACACTGCAGTGTATACACATATATCTATACAAAGGTTTCTATATATATTACTGGAGCGGCAATTCTGTGAACAAAAACAGTGTCACAGCTGGGAGCGAGGGCGTACCCGCCCGCTGCCACGGTAAATAGGTATATTCATTTATGAAAGTAACTGTTATTAAATAGTAATTATCTAGAAGAAACTTTAAATCACACTGATAAAGTGTGTACATAAACTATGACAGCATTTTCTTGGTCACATTAAACAAATTCAGTGTTAGATTGTCAAAAACAACGTTAGCGATTCACAAAACAAAAAACTAGTCTCCTCGTACGCTCGCAGTCGACTAAAGGAGTTACGGAGAATTGACCGTAACATAGTGCGCAATGTATAGAAGTCTGGATTTATACCATTATGCACCTACTACAATATTTGATTGTAAGGTTTGAGTTTAAAGTCGAGATTGTCTATTAATACTTCCTCAGGTTACTGTAACATAATCTTAAACCAAATTTCACAGCTAAAACGGAGCTGCGACACATTTCAGGTCATAAAACGATGAGAATATATTATATACCTTGTTATATTTTCAAAAATATAAAAAATAGCTAGTGTCATGATTGCTGAGTATTAGAACATAGAAAATTAAAGAAACTGAGAGGTATCCATCAAGTTGATACCTCGATTTGTAGGCAAAGAACTATATAAATGTATGGCATGACTAGCTGAAACATTTAAAGCTTAATAAAAAAACGCGTTATACATAATACTCGATTTTGTGACGTGAGATTCGTTGTGCAAGTTCACCTGCACAAAATTATAATTAATAAATATCAACTAAAGATAATACAAAATATTGTCAGCGCTTGCACCATACTCGTAGATCTCCATCATACGAGCACTCACACACAATTTCTCTAACCTTTTATGAGATCATGGTTACTAGGATTCAACAAAATGTCGCTGATTCCTTTCGAGATTCATCTTTATGGCGTGTCAGTGCACAACAACAATACTGAGATGAGAGAGCGCGCTCTGCAACAGCGCACGAGCCAGTAATATCCGAGTCGCATCAAGTAAGGCTTTGCCAAACCAAACGTAAGGCGACTCCGGGAACTTTAATATACTTAATAAATATTATTAAATATATCCTTAAAGATAGCACCCGGCTACAGAAGGCGACTGAATATTACGCTTAAACATGTGTCAATCGTTCATTTCTACTGACCCGATAGTTCAAGTATTGATTCGACTTACGAACCGGGTCATTTGATTATCAATTTATATTATTATCATTCAAATGGATCGATCGGTTGTATAATAAATGCCCATTCGCGACATACTTTTACATTTACTTACAATTCGCGCAAACAGTGAATCATAAGTGACAGGATATATTATATGTCCTGTCCAATCATACGATCAATATCTTCGAAAATTGTGATTACAATCCTCAATATAGACCCGGATCAAGTGAACGAATCATTCACAATCGACACATGCCTACTCACGCTGCTAACAAACCGAAGAGGTAACCTTCGAAAACCGGGCGGTTGATTTATTTTAAAACATAGAGCATATAACATATTTATTACATTTAGCGTAATTTCTTCAGTATATTAAAACGTTCGGTCCACAATAATCTAATTAACAATTTGTTCCTTAAGACAAACATCGTAAGTACGCCAAAGGTAACCGTGAAGTTGATAGGCCACAGACGTTTCACAACGAGTTTAATATAATTCTATTACGCCAATGAACAAAACAATTCTGTGGGCACTGCATCCTATTGAGGGAATATTACGCTCACCAGATGTCGCTAGTTGGGATTGAGGTGAACTTCTTTGTCACATAGTGTGGTCATCATGGAAATGTTGCGTTTTAATTTAAAAAAAAATCGGTTTTTAGTGTATGTATATACACAAAACAATGCCTTAGCGCTGTGCTCTTTAACATTTTTTTTTAAGTTGTTCTACTTTAAGGTATATCAGTATAGTAATGTATATAAAATATAATTAATATTTAAGAAAGAAACATTGATCTTCTCTAACAAAGTACTTCCCCACCATGAAATCATGAATTTCACCTCATTCCAAAGTGGCGCCGCCCTGGTGGCAGAAAAT